AAACCATTTTTGGAAGGAAAAACTGGAGTGGATGCAGTATAAATTCCAGAAACCCATGGTGCAAGGATACTGTCTTTGGCCAAATTCTGACCTTATTTGTGTGCATGTGGCAATCCAAGTTAAAAAAAGGAATGGCAGAATATAGTTTCATGTTGAATACATTGCAATATATCCATCTACAAAGCCAGAATATTTTAAGGAAAAGAAGAAAGAAGGGAAATTGGTATACAAGCACACACAAGCCAAAATTTCAAACTTTCACTGCCAAACCTCAGACTGCAGAAATGATTAGGGGACTGAGCTTTGTCCAATGCTTTAAACAAAAAAATCCCATTTTATTACACTCCTTGGGCCACTGTGCATTCTTTTAAATCCCAAACAGATTTCCTAATTTGTATTGACTTACACCAGGCAACACAGAGCTTCCTTAAATCCTAAGGTTTTTGTACACTTATATAAACTGCAAAGCACGAAACTTGTCATTGTTACATGAACAGCAGAACTACCAATTTTTTTAGGGACTCCTGCCATTTTCTCTTAATTTTTCTATTAAAGTAATTCCAGCCCATTCTACTTGCTGTGTCTTCTGGGCAGGACAGAGACAGCACATGCAGGCTCCAGCGTGCAGAGCCACCACACTGAACTTTCAGCCTATTATGTTCAAACACGCTGTATAAAAGCTGAATTCCCCCCCGGCTTTCCTTCAGTAGAGGCATTCATTTGAATAATCCTAATCTATTAATTCATCAATTTCCCCAATTCTTCCACATTATTTGCTCTGCAAGTTCCTACTCTTCACTTACAGCAGGTAACAGAGACATTGAAAATGACTGATAGAAAGGTATTAGAAAGGTAGACAGACTCAAGATTAAAAAACCAATTTCCACAGGGAAACAGAAAAGAGAAAAATGTGTTTTAAACAGTACAGTAGTTTCCAAATATTTTATACACTCTGATTTTTTTCAGCACTAAAAAAACCAAAACAAGATTCTATATCCTGTTTTTTAGCAGCTTCTGCACAGCAGCTGACATAGAAGAAACACGGATTTACTTTTCATGCTGAAAAGCTTTTATTCTCACTTTCATACAACTCAGTAAATTGCCCAGAGAGTGATTTATCCTCCGCTATGATCTCCTGAATATCTTATACCCACACAAAAGATGGATGCTGGCAGGCAGAGCTGTCAGTAGGAATTTCAGCAAAGTAAATTGTTTAGTACTTACAATGCAGCATAATAGCTGTAATTTCATTTGAACTGTTGCCATTAATAGAACTACAAACCAAGATCTAGGCGCTCATCACTGTGCAGCCACTGAGAATTCCTCTGTGCACCCTTCAGCACAGATGCAGGTAGCTCAGCCCTGGCAGTGTTACTGTACCTGAAAGAATGACAAGCCAGGCCTGGCACTTGCTCTCAATAGTCAAAGACACAGGTGGATATCAACTGCTAAGGATTTCCCATCAGCATTTAACAGGTGTTTTCACAGCTACTCCGATCCTCTGCCAAAATGCAAACTAGCAATTTCAACACATATGCATTGAAAAATGTTGAAAAGGAAACTAAAATATAATACAAGATATGCAAATATGTGTATATATACACTGCACATTTACTGAGCAGGAAGCATGTTCTTCTGTAGCATGTTCTTCTGAAATATTGCATCTCCTACATATGAAGACCTAGAAATTCAAATACCTTAAATACTTGGCTAAAGATATCACATCAGCAGATGTTCTTCACCTAGACTTTTGGTGAAGCACCTATTAAAATGCTTTTGTTTAAGCGCTATGATTGAAACAAACTACAGATTGCTTTCTTGGTCTTAAAAAAGTATAGAACCTGATGCTGTTCTATGCTGTTTATATATGCCCTGAATCAAAGATCAGGATTAGCATACATGCTATAAAGGCAATGAAACACAGTCAATTTCAGAAAAATTGCCTTGAGTATAATAAAGATAACTTTTGCTGTGTATCCTTTCTACTCAGAAACTGCAGTTTTGGCTTCCTCTGACAGGTTAAATGAATTAACCACCCTGCAGGCAGCCCCAAGGGTCTGTATGGGAACTCAGACACTGAAGAGGTGAAAAAGCCATTAGTTCTCTCCAGAGGAATTAGTTTTTATATGCATGTCTCTCATCACTGCTAATCAACCATGATACACATTCTTTCTGCCAAACTGCCTTAGATGTATGGGTAAACATCTGCAAAAGCTGAAAAAATGCTATACACTTCACTTCCCTGTCCTACCCACAGGAGGGAAAAACGAGCAGTGAACTGCACATGCAGGACAGGCTGTTCTACTGGCAGCTCGCAGGTCAGCGCGTGACTGATCTTGTATGTGAAAACTGTGAGGGCTGTGGCGGGGAAAGAAGAGCAGATGTAGTAAGAGAAGCAGCACACAAAAAAAAAGTCTTTCCTTTTACAATAACAGAGAGCACAGCAAGCAAAGAAATAGTAAACAGAAGAATGGAGACACGAAGCATCACAGAGAAAAGGACAAACATGAAGGCTGACAAAGGCCTCTGAAAAATACAGTATTCCGTGCCTCCACTGGGTGATATGTAAGGATTAATACACTCAATTTTTTGATTTACTTGCATTTTGCAACATCCACATGACAAAGACTGGAAGCAAACCCAGAGCAATCGGTCACCATTAAAATTTATAATATGCCACAGAAGATTTCTTGGATCTTCTTGAGAGTAGGAATAAATTGGTGCTTCATATTTTAAGTGGGAAAAACAGGCCATGTACACCATTACTTCCTATAATCAAAAGAAAGTCCATTTCACAATTTTGGTCATGGTGTCTGTCTGAATTCTGACTAAGACATGGAGTAATTTCCATGCTCTCCCATAAGGCTCCTGTAGCATTTTGGATGAATATGAAAGCCTGTCTACAACCTTAGGTATTAGCTTTAGTTACTTGGTCCCAGTTGCATCATGAACACACCACAGTTAAATAAGTGTTTCTGGGAGAAGTACCAGCATGCCCTTTGGTTACTGTAACTATCGCCACAATGTGAATAATGCCTGTAAACCCTTCTGGGCAAGCTAATCTCTCATCTGCAGAAACCACTGGAGAGAATATAGGCCACCAGAGGAGAAGGGCACAGATTTCTCTTCACAGTAGTGACTGTAATTATTCATTTTTCTCAACAATAAGTACTAAAATGAAAACTTTCTTTTGCCTAACCACTTCTCTCCAGTGGATCCCTGCTTTTTCATCAGGTATCAATAATCATAAGAGCTGTGCCTGTGCAAATCAACCTTAGCAATCAAGGTCCAAATATCCAGATCCTCAGATATATTTTCCAATTATCCATTTTCCTCTATTTCTGTAGGCATTTTTTGAAATTATCTGCTTCTTATGAGAGCACTAATTTCTTCTTATGCATATGCATTTAGTAGGTCTTATCTACCATTTCTTCAGCACAGTACCTAATAAGGAACAGAAGTAAGAAGGTTCTTCCATTTGCCCACCTAATTAAGTTTTAGTATCAGCATAGACCTGAACTGCTCAATATTGGACTGAGAAAATCTGTCTCCATGAACTGAAATAAACAGCTGAATGAAGGAGCTAGAAGTTGTTTCCTAAATAACTTTGCTTCATTAGCAGAAGCATTGTGAAAGTTTCCACTCGGATCATAGGGCACGTTCACAGAAGAAAAAAAATCGGGAAAACATCCTACAACAATATCTCCAAAATTCAAAGCAGACGAAAGAGGATGTGCTTGGGAAAACTCCAAGGTGGGCACCTGAGTGTTTCTGTCTGTCCTGACAATGAATTCACAAATCGCGCCGCACAGCGCCATCTTCTGGTGACCAAAAATTGGATTTTTTTCGTAGTCTTTGAGAAAAAAGCTGTGACTGTATCAAAGACAACTTGCATACAAAAAAAGTTAGTAAAGATTTTTTTTAAAAAAGCTGTTTTAATCAAAAAAACCTATCAAATTTAAATCACCAAAAATTTTAGTTTGCTTCTGCTATTCCTATAAACGTGAATAAGGCACTCTCAAGTATTCTGCTGGTTTCTAGCTTGCTACACTAACAAATAACCTTAATGTCACCATATTTCTTTGTTGAATTTTCCAACAAGAAAAAACCAGTCAATAGTTTGATTACTTGATTAAGTAATAAGTGCTTAATTAACTCTCCTTCTCGAGCACCTCAGCTAACGGGAGACAGGCTTGGCATTCGGCAGTTCTCTAGGTTTGCATACAAGTGTTTTTAAGTAGCCTAAGACGAGAGAATAAAGGAATAAATATGTGAAATATCAAAACTTTAGGAAAAGGGACCGTGAATGCCTAGAAATAAAGTAAAGGCTCTGTTTCCTTGCTTTGTTTGCCGTGTAAAATACAGAGTTCTCACCAGTGCACGGGAAAGCTTTTCTTCCAATGCAGCAGAACTAGCGTAACCAACGCCAGTATTTCAAAGCTATCGTTTCATTTACTTTTTTTTTAATACAACCAGCACCTTTAGGAGGCACATACCTTCCGGTTTGGAAACTAACTGCCCCACGTGGAGCGCTAGATCCCTCCTGGTGCTGTAGGTTCCACAGCCACGCACCCCGCGGAGCTGCTGCCCCATCCCCAGGCCGCTCCCGGCCCGGCTCCCTCAGGGCTCAGGGGCCGCCCCGCGGGCGGCGCGAGCGCACCTGCTGCCCCCCCTCGCGGGGCCGCGCGCTTCCCGCCGCCGCCTTTTGAACAGCCTCGTGACGTCATCGCGGGGCGGGCGCACGTGCGACGCCCCCGGCCGGGTCCCCCCGGAGGGGGCCGATGGGCGGAGCCGGGGGCGGCGCGCAGGCGCGGCGCGCGGGCGGGCGGTGGTTGCGCGGAGCGGCGCTCCCATGAGCCGGCG